CCATCAATGCTATCTCTATGGCGGAGCTACTCAACGATGCTGACGAGCCCCCTCCTTGTACTGTCGAAGTCGGGGAGACTACGACTCTCGACTCGACTGTGCTCCCTTCAGGGACCTTGCCCGAGGACGCTGGCGAAGCTAGACCCGAGCCGTCCCCCGACGAAGAAGAGGTTACCGACCAGCTCCTAGTGTCCCCCGTTGATGTGTTCGGGTTACAACAAATTCGCTTCGTGGAAGAACAGAAAAGGACACCCTGGATCCAAGCTATGATAGCGTTCCTTAGCGATGGAGCTCTAGCTCTGGACCCTCAAATGCGCACCAAAATCCTGCTGATGGCGCCTAACCACTCGGTAAAGAACGGAGTACTCATGCGTCGCGTACACCTGAAGGCTCGCGCTGGACCGGCGTCTACTCTTGAAGTTCCTGTGATTCCCCTGCCTTTCATATCGACGGTACTACATCACTGTCATAAGGATGTACTTGCCGCTCATGTCGGAGTTACTAAGACGCTCGACAAAGTGCGCAAGCACGCTTACTGGCACGGGTGGAAGAAGGATGTGGCCGAATATGTTCGGGAATGCACCGTGTGCGGCAGTGGTAAAGGCTATCGCCCTTGGAGAAATGGCCGAATGCAGAGGATGCCCGTACAAGAACTATCGGGACCTTTCTCGCTATTAGTGGTGGACGCCATAGGTCCCTTAGTGGCTACTCCTCGAGGCAACAAGTTCATACTCGTCTTCGCTGACTATTTCACTCGATGGGTCGAAGCGTTCCCAGTGGCCCGCTTGGACACTGTAACGTTCGTGGAAGTTATGGTGAACGAAGTGATCTCGCGGCACGGAGTCCCCGAGAAACTACTGAGCGACCAAGGATCCAACTTCATCTCGAACCTGGCACGATCCTTCTACGATACACTCGGGATCAAGAAGTTGTTTGGAGCTGCTTACCATCCTCAGACTCAGGGGCTAGTCGAACGCTTCAACGGCACGCTGATCGGGATGCTTAAGATGTATGTCAACGAAGCTCAGAACGACTGGGACTTATATCTTCCCCGAGTACTGTTCGCATATCGTTCGTCGTATCACGAGGCCCTTAAGGACTCACCATTCTTCAGCCTGTATGACCGGGACCCGGTGTTACCTCTGGACCTCGCGTTTCTCAACACGAACAACGGATGGAAGAGTAACGAAGTCGCTAGCTACAGACGAAAGCTATTCTTATCTCTACGGGATACGAGACGATTAGTAGAGCGCCAACTCTTGAAGGCCCAGGGCAGACACGAGCAACGACTGAGCAACCAAGTACCGATTAAGTTCAAGGAGGGAGACCCGGTGTGGGTCTACCAGTACTTTCGAGCTCGTCGCGGGGAAAAGACCACGAAGAAGCTCGCTTTCGCGTGGCATGGTCCGTACCGTGTGGTCGGGATCGTGGGAGAGAACTCCTATCGAGTAGCCATCCCTTCTCACCCCAATCGGGTCGTGACCATTAACGTCAATAGGTTGAAACGTTTCCAAGGGCGATGGAGTCGACCGTTCCCTTCTGAAGTACCCGAGGGAGTCCAGTCGAGTCCGGGTGTAGACGACGACGGACCTCTATCAGAAGAGGACCTCCCCTCTACTAGCTTCGTAGAGAGACTCCTGATTGGAGGGGAAGAGACGGCCCTGACCGGAGTTCCTTGCTCTGTGATCGACATAATCGCCCGACGCAAAAAGAACCGTGAAGAGCAGTTCCTGGTGTTGTTAGCTACCTACGAGACTCTTTGGAGACCACGAAACACACTATTGCCCACCTACGCTGCTCTGATCAAGGCGTTCGAAGAAACCCGTCGTCGGGAGGGAGACCTACCAGAACTACGTCGCAGCGCGCGGTTGGAAGACGCTAACGCCGCCGTTGACGAAGAAGAGCTACTCTTCTAGGGAGGGGGAATCGTGGCGGGTCGATCCAATGAGCCAGAGTAAACTCACGACCCCGCCTCCCTCGAAAGTGTCCTGAAGAACACTTCTTACGACTTTGTATATTTTTGGATTCTACTTCACAAGTGGCTGATCTCCTACATACCAAAAAGAAAAACAATCTTACCGCGATCTCAAGAAAAAGAAACGAAAACAACAAGTGGGGACGAATCGTGGTGAAAAACAAAAAGAAACTTAAAAAGGAAGACGATGCCAGTACTCTTACTCTCATCCAGTGAGGAACGGTTCTGGAATGGTACGAATCAATAACTTCTCGACGGCCTCTCGTTAGGCTGTTTTGTCGGACTTTTTAGCCGGCGAGCTAGGAGCTGAATGAACACCCGGCGAACTCGACTTCCGAGGTGCTGACGGGGACCGCGAGGCCGAGCGTCCCTTAGGGGGCACTGCCTTCTTCAAGGAAGACACCGAACGCGACCGCTTACGCGTACCGTCCAGCGACGCTGGAGCTGACGGAGGAGTCGGCGTTTTGCCGTTGATCGGTTTGTCGGAGGTGACTTTACTCCCTACTCGTCTTGATGGTTGAGGACTTCGTCGGAGACTTCGACCGAGACGCAGGACGCTCCTCAGACCGTGACCGACGGGACTTCTTGTGCACTGGGGACTTCGATCGTGACCGTTAAGGAGAAACAGAACGTTCTGGCGAAGCAGCGCGCGCTTTGAGTTTGCCTTTAGCGCGTGAAGATGAAGAGGACCGCTTGCGCGACGAACTTAATCGAGGCTTCTTCAGGGAGGTAGAACTGCGAGACGGGGAACGGGAACGCTTCGCGCGCTCTTTCGCCCTCCGAGACTTGTGAGAGAGCTGCAGACGCTTGTTGGGAGGCTCGTCGTCCTCCGAACTCTCGTCGGAACTAGATGAAACTACCACGAAGCGTTCCAACCTCCCCTGTCTGAAGAAGTTGCTAACGACGGAGTCTATAGTACTAACGTGAGAGATGTACGCAGAGGAACCGCTCGCCGAGGACGACGAACGACAAGTCGGGGAGGATGTCCCGTACCCGGGAACGGAGGGGTCATTCCAGGAGCTCTGCCTCCCGTCGGGATGACCCGAGACCCTGGAATCACTCCTCGCCCCGCCGTCCCGTCAGGGTGGTTCCCGTTGAACTCAACCTCGCACGTACCCTTGACCGAGCCCGTTAGGGTGGTACTATAAGGGGACCCCTGAACGCCGGAGTCTTGGCGTCGGGGACCAAAAGCACCTCGCGACATCAAGCCCTTTCCCAGAGTCTCTCCGCTGTCCCACGAAGGCCGACAACAAACGAAGTGAATCCTTCCTTTTTTTTATGTAGTGTAGTGTATGTAAGGTCGAGAAGGTGTTAGGCCTCTCTTCCGGTTAGCTCTCAGTCTTATATTTCCCTCCTTCTACTCAAGAGGAAGCCAAGCCAATCAACAAACTTTTATTTTCAACTCTCTAGTGTTCCTATCTACCGTTCCTGCAGCCATTGAACAAGACCGTACTCCCTGAACAGCCGCGGACTACCCGACCCTTAAAGGAAGAGGAGGTATACGACAAGAGATACAAACAAAACAAAGATGCGATGTAGAGGTGAAATTACAGGTGCTTCGTCGCGTACTTCATGAAGCGCCGCAGCTTAATACGTGTCTCCTTCAAGTGAGCTACCAGAGCACACTCTAGCTGCTTCTGCTCTGCAAGATGGCCACGCAATACAGGAAGACGCGGCTAGTTTCCAACGATTTGGACGTCCATGGACGGCAGCGCGCGCACCAGGTGGAACAGCGTCATCTAGATCAGGGTCGTGTTGTTTAACTCCAGTGAGTTGCGCAGCGCCAGCTCGAACTCGCCTATGGACAGCAGCAGTTGCACCGGGTCCGACGCGTTCTCCTCCAGGCCCAGGGACATCGTGGCCAGGCAGTGGCGGTTTACGTGCTCGGCGCAGTTGGCGATATCGGCGTACGAGACGAGCGTGGCCGCCTTAACCTTCTCGCACGCCCAGTGCACTAGCACGTGGTCGGTCAGGATCTTCAGATACTCGCATATCTTCAGAGCCAAAAAGTGGTGCCGCATCACCACCAGGCGACTCACGACCGCCTCGGCCGTCATACGGACAAATTGTATGACGGTCAGCTTGAGATCTCCTCGATCTGCTTGATCACGCGGTGGAACGTCTTCTCCACTTTGTCGTTCGTGGCCTCCATGATTTCCGCCAGGAGCTGGATACTCTCGGGCAGCATGGCCAGAAACCCGTTTCCAATCACCCGGTAGCACTTTTCCACCGCCACCAGTACCGCAAGGCGCATTAAATCGTTGTCTCCGCGCGACTTCATTAACACCGTTCAGCGGCTTCCACAGAAGGTTGCAATTCGTGGCCCACGATAAGTTCGCCAGACACGACGCCACCGTCTCCAGCACGAACTCGTGCATCGCTGCGTCGTACTGCAGCACATTCACCAGCGGCGTCCGCACCACATCGAACTGGTCCTTCTCTGATAAACCCGTCGTTATCGTGCACGAAGCAGCCGTTCAAAGCGCGCCCCACGGCGGCCCTACGGCTTTCCGCGACAGAGAAAAAGCTGGTGGCCAACTCGATTTGATCTGTAAATTCAAGGCGAATGCAGACACAGGGCATGCCAGTTGGAGGATGGGTAGTAGACACTAGAAGTAAATTGTGCTCATGCACTTACAACCGCAAGCACGCGATGTGCTGCCATGTTGTCGCTGCCTGTGTCCTAGGTGGCGTTGCTTGCCCGGGTGTGAGTATGCACACGCGTCAGTTTGTACGGCCAACTCATACTCATCACGTGGACCAGCTTTCCTCAACATCATTCGGAGAGCCATCTGATTCAGACTCTGTGGATATAGTACAAGGCAACATAAGGAGAATGAAGCTGCCATAGAGAATGCAGTAAATCATGTGCAATCACCCTATGCGAGCCCGGCGCAATCAACGGCAGGTTACTCACTGACACGATCATTCTGGAATATGACGCTGCCAACGAGGTTACGGGACGTTTAAAAGCTCGGAAAATACCACCTCTTAGAGTCATGTGCGACGCTTCTGGGCAGTCCGATCAAGCGGCAATTGGAGCCCGTACAGCGTCGGACAAAGCGTTCAAGTTCCAGTAATGCATAATGGTCCTGGCAGTGCCCGTGATGTCGAGAAGGCTAACGAAGAAGATGGTATTCCATATCGTTGACGTTCGTCAGATCTGCAAATCGACCATATCGAAACGGTCGGAGCAGCGTCTCCCGAGAGTGATGTTGAATCCTCACACGGTGAGGCGATATCGGACTTCGTCGCCATGACTTTACTCCCGGCACATGGCCTCCACGATAGCAACCACGGACTTGCTGTCCATTGCTGCGATATAGATAGGAGTCACCGCGGCTTGAGAGCTGCACAGGATACTTTCTTTATAATTTAATGCCGACCCTGACGCCGGAGATGTAATATGAGCCGATGTGCCTCAAAGGAAATTGAAGTTTATGGTGATGAAGCTGTGAATGGAAAACGATAAAGATGAAGACAAGCACTTGTCGTCGTGATGCTGGTGTGACAGCTGCAATTTGGGCTTGCGCTCCCTGTGTACATCAATCTATTTTCTGTATGGACCTTGTCAAAATATGAACCTGTGTTGAAGACACGGATGTCTTCATTGTGAGCGGTGAAGAACTTGCTGTGGATGATCAATTCAGTATTGGGTGTTGATGGATGGAAAATCTGCAAAGTGGGTGTACTGCGACGGGATGTGGCTGACAATAAACGGAACATGCTCCGCTCTTGTTCTGGCCATAGTTGTGATTGTTGCTGTACAGTATGAGCCAACACCCACGCATCGAGAGCCGCTACTATTTAGTGATCGATTAATTAACCTTGCACGATTACTGTAAGAAGTTACAAGCTGGATGTTCAAAAGGCTTGTGGACAGAAGACGCGCTAACAAAGACTTGACGGGCATATTCGTACCAGACGAGACGGTTACGGCGATCATGCTGTGGCCTGCTTTCACTCCCCCTGCCACTGTATGCGTGCACACCAGACTGCTGGACTACTTACTCTCTGGTCTACAGTAACACCCCGTGTGACGTTCGACTTCATTCCGGTGAACTCGCCGCTAGATTAAGAGAATTAGTCCAAGTCTGCAGGCTTTGTCGTTTTCGAAGCAAAAGGAAGTGGATTCTGCGTGATCGCAAGAAGGCTGTCTTGCAAATTCCGTGTACTTTGGTTAATTCGGTCAGAACAATGGGGTTGTTCTTCTTTCTGCTTCCTGGCCGATTCTACATGTACAAAACTGCTTGAAACACGCTGGTCGAAGGATTTATCTCCTGGCAACATTTCCATTCCACAAGTCTGATCGGACGGGAGGCGTGCGACAACGTCGTTCATGAGCATGCGTCGATTACCGAATCACGGTGGTAGACAGGATGCGCGTTTTTGTCTTGAAGAGATGGAGAATATGCGAAATGTTGTTACGGAATAGGAATCCCGAAGTTGGACGATCGTTTACTTGTGGACAGACAAATAATAAACCACGTTTTCACGAGACTTGTTAAGTCAGATTTAATCAAATGATCAGACGAGGCTACATGGGCAGCACTATTACCTGGTGAGTCAGTCCAGTACATACTGTATGCATCGGCTGTAGCCTACTTTTATTTTACCTCAACTATGCATTGCTGTAGCCTGTGGTGGACGTGTAATCTAACGCAATGGTTTCATGACAACAATTCACAATGTTCAGAATGGTCATTATTATTTCGAGTAAGCTATACGAAAGACCTTGTGAGTGTAAGTAAAATTTTCTTTCGACAACTAAGTTGAGAATCTGGGTAAAGAATGCGAACAAGTTCACTGACTACCAACAGCTACCTACGATGCTTAACCAATGCGATCGTACACGCCTACCAGCTCGTACATCGGATACCATGCCTCCACCAACCCGAGCTTCAGGTTAAAAGGCACCGCTTCGAAATCGGGGCTTTCGCTGCTGCTATCCATTCGCCAGTACCCCTCTTCCATGACACCGTTCACCAAAAGACACCTCGGGCTGCCTTCGTGGCTTCCAGTCTCCACGTCAGCCTGCAGCTTCCATCTGAGTGCTGGTTGCAATCTGTCGCTATCCACTGGCCACGAACTCATTTCTACTACGAAGCTCTTCGGAGACAAAACTTTGCCGCGGTAGTCTCCATAGCTGCGCCCACCAAGAGGAATCGAGCTTGAGACACCACTTGGGAATTGGATGAACATCCTTTGTCGACCGTCCAGCACCAGCGTCATGCCTGACTGGTTGGTAGTTGTCGACTTCACTTTTCCACCGTAACCCGTGCCAAGATTCCAGTCGGAGCATATCTCAAGCGACTGACCATCCACTGGGCGAATGTCGATTCGAGCGAGCTCACGCATGAACGTTAGCAGGCAGCTTAACGAGGCATCAGTCGCTGTTGAACCTCGGATCGGAGTTAGCAGGGACTGAGTTCCGTCGAAAACCCACGAGCCATCAAAAACAGAAGCATGGTCACTTCCTTGACGTGCCAAGAGGGTGCGACTTGGCGTTGCGTTCGCGTGCTGCAATACATACTGCGCTCGCAGCTGCGACACAAACTCGTGCATCCCAAACATTTCGTTCGACGAGAGGACGTCCAATAGAACGCGTCGCAGTGGTGTCAGGTGGTCGTATTTGAACACGGCCGTCATGATTTCTTCACTCAAGAGAGACAGGGATGTGGACGACGAAGTGGACGGGACCTTGCTCCAGCCGATGAAGCGGTCAACAAGCTTACACAGCGTCTTGACAGCCTCCACGTAACCAGCGCGCACTCGATCTTTATCTAGGAGCGCTGGGCTGTAGGATCCGAGGAAGCGACGATAGACCTCGAGGTTGGCGCAGTCCAGAGCCAGCCAGCCCGCCAGACTAGTACAGATCTCTACCAGCCTCGTGAACGATCCTCTCTCTCCTTCCTCAGTTTCGCCTCTATCATCAAACCTCTGCGACTCACTTTCCACTCGTCGGAGTGGTTCGAGAAAGATCCACGATAGCGGTGCAGTGAGCTGCAGCTGTTCAGTGTTGTTGCTTACCTTGCCGGTTACTGAACGATATCCTGCCACTTGGTCGTTGAAGAGTCCACTCAGAGCTTCCAAGCTGGCTCCGTGTGAAGATGCGTTCAAATGGCGAAGGAAATGGAAGAGGATAGCGAGATGCTTTGACGTCGTCATGATGTCTGGATGCCGACATTCCCACAACTTGCGGTTCTGCCACAGCACCTCTTCACGCCCTGCTATCACTCGAAGCTGAGGCGGTGGAGGCTTACGCTCAAAAGGTGCTGTTATAATACGGCTAGTGCTGTGTCCATCAGCATCTGGTTGACCAATTTGCTGGGTGTCGACCACTGTGCGTAGGGCCTCCAGCGCCTCACGCTCGGCTCGCACTTCACCGGGAGCGCGACGATAGGACACGACGATGAACTCGGACGAGGAGATCAGACCTACCACGCGCAACTGCGACTGGACACGCTGGAAGATGTAGACACGCAAAGCATGCTTGGTGAAGCGCTGCGCCTTGGTGGCGGCGCTCTCCCACTCGTAGTACCATCGTGCACCAGGGTTGATCTGGAAGAGGCTGCTGCGCTGTTGGCTCAAAGCAAGTGTGACGGAAAGTCAGCGTCCGGCAGATGGAGAGAGCTGCAAGTTCATTTGGCAAAAGAGTACTGCCCACACGTACGTTGGCGCCAGCGTCGCGGACTACGGTGCCCTCGATCCACGTTCCCTTGGGCGTCTGCTCTGTCTGGATGGATCTACTCACTTCATCGTAGCCGATTACGTCGTTAAGGGCCAGGAAGTTGGTCTGCGCCTCCTCAAAGTGCGCGTACACTAGCAAACTGGCGGAGTTGCTTGTTGACACCGTGGCGACCGTCTCTGTCTGCTGTTGGGCGTCAAGACGTGTGGCGTCAACAAGCTTGACGCGAACGCAGAGTGAGGAGCCACAGTAGCTACGGTTGAGGTGCTCGGGGCAGCAGTGCGGGAAGCAGCGCAGGATCTAGAAGTAAAAGAGTCGTGTCCGGCACGACCAGACAAGAACCAAAAGGACATGAGACTGGCTGAGGTGAAGGGTACGGCAGTTGCAATGTAACATTGGGTGCACCTTGGTTTTCTTGGTGCGGTTGGTCCTAGAGGCAGGAGGCAGCATTGAACAATGCACAGACTCAATTGTTGAGGACCCTTTTGCACGATATGTAGTTCAGATGACTCATGCCCGTACCGTTTGTACTCGGCCATGAACAGCGTCGAGTGCCGGCAAGCCCGACGCTCAAAGTGGCACGTCACCGCACTCATTGTTGTTGGCAGCAGCTACGAAGCGGAGGAAATCTTACTGCTCCTCGAAGTTGGTGGAGCCGATAAAAAACGGCGACTGGCGTGCGTCCGCCAGAGTTGGGCCCTTTTTTTATGGCTAACCCAATCCCGTGCAGCATCGATGGGCGGAATCGGTCCTTCTTCCATGCACCGATTGGTCCTCAGAAGCATCGCTGGCTTCTGCACTCTTGGTGTCCTTCACGGGCGCTGATTGGACTTTCTTAGCTACAATGCTCTGCGATTGGTTGCGCTTGAAAAATATTTGGATGCGTTGTGTCGGATATTTACGACGGGCGCTCGCTCAGAAATTCTCGTTTGTCGGGGTTGGAACAAGCGGCGTGTAAGAGTGACACTAGTGGGTACGGTACGGACAGGTCCCCGTGCTACGAGTGCTGTAAAAAAAAACCTGTAGAAGATCACTTGACCTCCCCCTGTGAATGTTGTAATCTGCTCACGTTGATACCAACTTTTACAAATAAATGGTGTTGCACCGCGGTTAGTGGTTTAAAATATGTGTATCCTTTCGGGAAAGATTTCGCACTCACTTCGTCGTAGTTGTTGATGTGGTCTAAGCAACTCAATTTATCCGCTCATAAACTCTACTTGATATTTGTAAGGAAGAGTTTTGGAAGAATTGCCTTGTATCATTGATAACAAGTCCGTCATTGCTGTCAGCGGCTAAATTTCACAGAAGGCACAAATAAATTATTTACATGTATAAAAACCTTTTGTCGTATCAAAAATGGTCATTGAACAATGATACTTGTGAAGCTGTTATTACGTCCAGGTGGACCGGAGGATTAATCTTTATACTAGCAGAACATATTCAAGAGAGTGCAGCAAAGGTCTTGTCCTTTGTTTGTCTCGTGGGCTGGCTGTGAAATTTGGAAACCTGGGAATTTATATTGCCTTTTTCTACTTAGAAGCCACTTGTGCTGACATTTCTACGCTTTAGCAAGTCTTTTAAGTAAAAGTTGGAAACCAAGAGCTATTCGATAAGAGCCAAAAGACCTAAGCCTACTCTGAAGCCTCGCAACCTCTTTTAAATCCTTTAAGCTCACCTAGAAACGGCGATGTGATATAATTAATTATTATAGACTATTAGAGTAAGACGTGGGCAGAGGCGCCTTAAAAACGTTAAAAATGGGAGGGGTACAATTAATATCAACGAGTCTGAATTCTATGCTTCTCGATACATATGATCAAGCGATGTTAAATCCTACCGATTTTTAAAGCCTGCTAAAACAGGACCCCCCCCCCAGCAGCGTGTGGCGTAAAATACTTTTGCAAAACAGTTTTGTGCGAACGGGCAGTACTTGATGACCGACAACAAAATGGGTGCGAAAATTTTCCCGAAACGATAGACGATGTTTTTGCCACTTACCGGAAGTGGCAAGCTAAAATGTGTCTGTCCTTATATTAATTTTATGCTTCTGAGGACCAATCGGTGCATGGAAGAAGGACCGATTCCGCCCATCGATGCTGCACGGGATTGGGTTAGCCATAAAAAAAGGGCCCAACTCTGGCGGACGCACGCCAGTCGCCGTTTTTTATCGGCTCCACCAACTTCGAGGAGCAGTAAGATTTCCTCCGCTTCGTAGCTGCTGCCAACAACAATGAGTGCGGTGACGTGCCACTTTGAGCGTCGGGCTTGCCGGCACTCGACGCTGTTCATGGCCGAGTACAAACGGTACGGGCATGAGTCATCTGAACTACATATCGTGCAAAAGGGTCCTCAACAATTGAGTCTGTGCATTGTTCAATGCTGCCTCCTGCCTCTAGGACCAACCGCACCAAGAAAACCAAGGTGCACCCAATGTTACATTGCAACTGCCGTACCCTTCACCTCAGCCAGTCTCATGTCCTTTTGGTTCTTGTCTGGTCGTGCCGGACACGACTCTTTTACTTCTAGATCCTGCGCTGCTTCCCGCACTGCTGCCCCGAGCACCTCAACCGTAGCTACTGTGGCTCCTCACTCTGCGTTCGCGTCAAGCTTGTTGACGCCACACGTCTTGACGCCCAACAGCAGACAGAGACGGTCGCCACGGTGTCAACAAGCAACTCCGCCAGTTTGCTAGTGTACGCGCACTTTGAGGAGGCGCAGACCAACTTCCTGGCCCTTAACGACGTAATCGGCTACGATGAAGTGAGTAGATCCATCCAGACAGAGCAGACGCCCAAGGGAACGTGGATCGAGGGCACCGTAGTCCGCGACGCTGGCGCCAACGTACGTGTGGGCAGTACTCTTTTGCCAAATGAACTTGCAGCTCTCTCCATCTGCCGGACGCTGACTTTCCGTCACACTTGCTTTGAGCCAACAGCGCAGCAGCCTCTTCCAGATCAACCCTGGTGCACGATGGTACTACGAGTGGGAGAGCGCCGCCACCAAGGCGCAGCGCTTCACCAAGCATGCTTTGCGTGTCTACATCTTCCAGCGTGTCCAGTCGCAGTTGCGCGTGGTAGGTCTGATCTCCTCGTCCGAGTTCATCGTCGTGTCCTATCGTCGCGCTCCCGGTGAAGTGCGAGCCGAGCGTGAGGCGCTGGAGGCCCTACGCACAGTGGTCGACACCCAGCAAATTGGTCAACCAGATGCTGATGGACACAGCACTAGCCGTATTATAACAGCACCTTTTGAGCGTAAGCCTCCACCGCCTCAGCTTCGAGTGATAGCAGGGCGTGAAGAGGTGCTGTGGCAGAACCGCAAGTTGTGGGAATGTCGGCATCCAGACATCATGACGACGTCAAAGCATCTCGCTATCCTCTTCCATTTCCTTCGCCATTTGAACGCATCTTCACACGGAGCCAGCTTGGAAGCTCTGAGTGGACTCTTCAACGACCAAGTGGCAGGATATCGTTCAGTAACCGGCAAGGTAAGCAACAACACTGAACAGCTGCAGCTCACTGCACCGCTATCGTGGATCTTTCTCGAACCACTCCGACGAGTGGAAAGTGAGTCGCAGAGGTTTGATGATAGAGGCGAAACTGAGGAAGGAGAGAGAGGATCGTTCACGAGGCTGGTAGAGATCTGTACTAGTCTGGCGGGCTGGCTGGCTCTGGACTGCGCCAACCTCGAGGTCTATCGTCGCTTCCTCGGATCCTACAGCCCAGCGCTCCTAGATAAAGATCGAGTGCGCGCTGGTTACGTGGAGGCTGTCAAGACGCTGTGTAAGCTTGTTGACCGCTTCATCGGCTGGAGCAAGGTCCCGTCCACTTCGTCGTCCACATCCCTGTCTCTCTTGAGTGAAGAAATCATGACGGCCGTGTTCAAATACGACCACCTGACACCACTGCGACGCGTTCTATTGGACGTCCTCTCGTCGAACGAAATGTTTGGGATGCACGAGTTTGTGTCGCAGCTGCGAGCGCAGTATGTATTGCAGCACGCGAACGCAACGCCAAGTCGCACCCTCTTGGCACGTCAAGGAAGTGACCATGCTTCTGTTTTTGATGGCTCGTGGGTTTTCGACGGAACTCAGTCCCTGCTAACTCCGATCCGAGGTTCAACAGCGACTGATGCCTCGTTAAGCTGCCTGCTAACGTTCATGCGTGAGCTCGCTCGAATCGACATTCGCCCAGTGGATGGTCAGTCGCTTGAGATATGCTCCGACTGGAATCTTGGCACGGGTTACGGTGGAAAAGTGAAGTCGACAACTACCAACCAGTCAGGCATGACGCTGGTGCTGGACGGTCGACAAAGGATGTTCATCCAATTATCAAGTGGTGTCTCAAGCTCGATTCCTCTTGGTGGGCGCAGCTATGGAGACTACCGCGGCAAAGTTTTGTCTCCGAAGAGCTTCGTAGTAGAAATGAGTTCGTGGCCAGTGGATAGCGACAGATTGCAACCAGCACTCAGATGGAAGCTGCAGGCTGACGTGGAGACTGGAAGCCACGAAGGCAGCCCGAGGTGTCTTTTGGTGAACGGTGTCATGGAAGAGGGGTACTGGCGAATGGATAGCAGCAGCGAAAGCCCCGATTTCGAAGCGGTGCCTTTTAACCTGAAGCTCGGGTTGGTGGAGGCATGGTATCCGATGTACGAGCTGGTAGGCGTGTACGATCGCATTGGTTAAGCATCGTAGGTAGCTGTTGGTAGTCAGTGAACTTGTTCGCATTCTTTACCCAGATTCTCAACTTAGTTGTCGAAAGAAAATTTTACTTACACTCACAAGGTCTTTCGTATAGCTTACTCGAAATAATAATGACCATTCTGAACATTGTGAATTGTTGTCATGAAACCATTGCGTTAGATTACACGTCCACCACAGGCTACAGCAATGCATAGTTGAGGTAAAATAAAAGTAGGCTACAGCCGATGCATACAGTATGTACTGGACTGACTCACCAGGTAATAGTGCTGCCCATGTAGCCTCGTCTGATCATTTGATTAAATCTGACTTAACAAGTCTCGTGAAAACGTGGTTTATTATTTGTCTGTCCACAAGTAAACGATCGTCCAACTTCGGGATTCCTATTCCGTAACAACATTTCGCATATTCTCCATCTCTTCAAGACAAAAACGCGCATCCTGTCTACCACCGTGATTCGGTAATCGACGCATGCTCATGAACGACGTTGTCGCACGCCTCCCTCTGATGAAGGTCCGATCAGACTTGTGGAATGGAAATGTTGCCAGGAGATAAATCCTTCGACCAGCGTGTTTCAAGCAGTTTTGTACATGTAGAATCGGCCAGGAAGCAGAAAGAAGAACAACCCCATTGTTCTGACCGAATTAACCAAAGTACACGGAATTTGCAAGACAGCCTTCTTGCGATCACGCAGAATCCACTTCCTTTTGCTTCGAAAACGACAAAGCCTGCAGACTTGGACTAATTCTCTTAATCTAGCGGCGAGTTCACCGGAATGAAGCCGAACGTCACACGGGGTGTTACTGTAGACCAGAGAGTAAGTAGTCCAGCAGTCTGGTGTGCACGCATACAGTGGCAGGGGGAGTGAAAGCAGGCCACAGCATGATCGCCGTAACCGTCTCGTCTGGTACGAATATGCCCGTCAAGTCTTTGTTAGCGCGTCTTCTGTCCACAAGCCTTTTGAACATCCAGCTTGTAACTTCTTACAGTAATCGTGCAAGGTTAATTAATCGATCACTAAATAGTAGCGGCTCTCGATGCGTGGGTGTTGGCTCATACTGTACAGCAACAATCACAACTATGGCCAGAACAAGAGCGGAGCATGTTCCGTTTATTGTCAGCCACATCCCGTCGCAGTACACCCACTTTGCAGATTTTCCATCCATCAACACCCAATACTGAATTGATCATCCACAGCAAGTTCTTCACCGCTCACAATGAAGACATCCGTGTCTTCAACACAGGTTCATATTTTGACAAGGTCCATACAGAAAATAGATTGATGTACACAGGGAGCGCAAGCCCAAATTGCAGCTGTCACACCAGCATCACGACGACAAGTGCTTGTCTTCATCTTTATCGTTTTCCATTCACAGCTTCATCACCATAAACTTCAATTTCCTTTGAGGCACATCGGCTCATATTACATCTCCGGCGTCAGGGTCGGCATTAAATTATAAAGAAAGTATCCTGTGCAGCTCTCAAGCCGCGGTGACTCCTATCTATATCGCAGCAATGGACAGCAAGTCCGTGGTTGCTATCGTGGAGGCCATGTGCCGGGAGTAAAGTCATGGCGACGAAGTCCGATATCGCCTCACCGTGTGAGGACTCAACATCACTCTCGGGAGACGCTGCTCCGACCGTTTCGATATGGTCGATTTGCAGATCTTCAGCTCTTGCCAACCAATTATTAACATGTTAATAACAGCTGTGTCTATTCACAGTATTAGTAGTACATGTACCGGTATCAGTTTTAATTTAATAATGTCGGCACCGAAATTATTTATTTTATTACGGGCAAGTACCACGGCCTTTAAAATATTCTTTCGTGACTTTTCAAAATTTAGTTTGCCCAGCATCCCATGATAGATCATCTAGAAACCGTTAATTGTAGTGGTGGACAGTCATTTATAAGATATTGCTGTGAAGGCCTTGGGACCTGCATGAAAGAACATCCAGAAGCCGTTAGCTGCCATATTGGATAAAAATATATCAGTTACTGATGTAAATTCAGTGGGCTTTATTGCCGAGGCATCTCAAAAGACCCCGTAAACACCCATACTGACAGTTCGGTAGCATCTCAGCTCTAAAAGATAGGCGTGGATGTGCCTCTGGAGCCAAAACAAAAAATCGGTACTGTTTCGTACCAATTATTTATGAGAGCCCTGTTGAAATTCAATGAATCTGGCGCCAGGATTCAGGAGATGCGCCGACCAGCTGGAGGTCTCGGATGGCGTGCGAGGGTAAGTATAGGAAGGATAAATGACGGAACGGTCACTCACTAATCTCACTTTCCATTCTGCTTCCTACTACGCACCTTTACCTTTCAACAGGTTTTGAGCCCAGATGCCAACGGAGACCGACCGCGCAAGGGCCGCCTCCGTCGATGGAGCGGAGAACACCGCCGACGCCCGCGCAAGGGGAGTCGGCGACCACGGAGCAGGACGAGGCGTCGGAGCTGCTGAGGCTGCTCCGCGGCGTCGCCGGCCGACTGGACAAGCTGGAGAAGTCCCAGGTGAAGCTCGAGAAGCGCCTTGAGACGCCCAAACAAGACCCGAAGTCCATGGTGGACACGAGCCTCTTCGCGTGGGCCCTGGGACGCGGGTCGAGGATGCACATCGACTCATTGAGCGGCACGCCGCAGACGCAGGCCCCTCGCCGGCCGACAGTTCACCCGCAGTATTTCGGGCTGCGACACGCGGATGTCGGGGTCCACGAGACGGGCATGTCTGAGCTGCAAAGGCTCTTCGCGGAGGAGCACGCCGCCCAGGCTAATCAAGAAGCACAGCAACCGCCTGCGGCGCCGGTACCAGCTCAAGCACAAGCCACGCCTGTGCAGAATCAGGGCTGGGCGTTCCGATACCCGGACGCCCGTCAAAAGAAGCTTGCGATCCGCCCGTTCGACGGCAAGGAGCTGTGCGTCGGGCTGGGCTCCGGCTTCCTGGCTTGGGGCAGAAGATTCGAGCGGCAGGTGGCGCTCGGGCAGTCGACGTGCGGCTTCGCGTGGTCTGAGGACGTGAAAGTAGACCTTCTCGGCCACTACCTGTCGGGTACGGCCGAGAGGTACTACAACAAGCAGGTGGACACGTGGTGGAACCAGTTGCCCACGTTGCAGTACGTCATGGAACGGATGTTGGACGCGTTCAAGACAAACATTACACCCGCCCAAGCCATGAAGCTGTTCACGGCGCCGAAGGACACCAAGAGATCGTGGCCCGAGCACTACATGTACCTCGTGGCCATCTCCAAGGCCACGGGGGGCGGCGCCGACTACTTGGCGCTGAGCAACATCGTTCAGTACGCCTCCGCAGAACTACGTACGGTGTTGATGGCCAAGGTGGACCAGTCGCGTACCGATTTCCTGCACTACGCCGAGGAGCTCGCACACTTCGCGCAGTCGTGGGAGACCGACGCGACCAAGCAGAAGTCGCTGGGCCGCGAGACGGTCAACGTGGTGAAGGACCACACCAAACAGCGCAAGGAGACACGGAGCTGCCACGAGTGTGGCCGTGTCGGACATCTACGGGCAGCGTGTCCAGACCTCAAGAAGCCAGGGGACATCACGCTGGCCGTCGGCGAGCACACCAGCGACACTACCGACCTGTGGATCCTAGACAGTGGTTCTAGTCGTCACCTCGTGAATGATGAGTCGTTCCTCAAGGACGTGAAGGAGTGCAGCGACGAGTGCGTGCAACCCAACGGTGAGCCGTTACACATCACCAAGCGCGGCAATGTGCTGCTGTGCGTCACAGCGTGCGGTGAGGAGCAAATGGTGGAGCTCACTAACGTCTACTTTGCGAAGGGCGTGGTGCACAACCTGATCTCCTACGGGATGTTCGACAAGCGAGGCTTCGAGCTGACTCACCGTGCCGGAAGACGCGTCGTAGCGGCCAAGAACGGCGGACGCGTGGCGTTTGACGTCGAGATGCGGAGCAACGTCTTGGTCGTGCCTGCCGTGGTGGAGCCGAGGCGCGAGCTGCCATCGAACGTGATCATGGCTGCTTAAAGCCGGGAGCTCACGGAGTCTGCAGAGGTGCCGAGGGACGTGCAGCAGGGCACACTGCTGGGTTTTCACAAGCGTCTGGCCCACCTCAACTACGACGCGGTGGAGCTGCTTGCCAAGGACCCGAGCTCGGGCATCCACCTGACCGACCGCAAGCGCGTCAATTGCCTTACGTGCGCCGAGGGCAAGCAAACGAAGAACCGACGGTCCAAGAAGGACACCGGCACACACTCACCCATCGATAGGGTGGGTGGGGTCATCTGCTCCGACTTGAAGGGGCCGATGACACCCAAGGATCGGTTGGGCAACCGCTACATGATCAACTTCATCGACTTCAAGTCCAACTACTGCCGCGTGTTCCTGGCGCGTACCAAGGACGCCGCGGCCAAGCTCTTCGAACACTTCCTCGTTTACTTCGAGAAGGCGTTCAACTGCAAGATCCACGTTCTCCGCACCGACTCTGGGGGCGAGTACGAGAACGTGGACTTGTTCTGCAAGCGAACGGGCGTGACCAGGCAGCGCAGCGAGGCTCGCAACCAGTCAAGCAACGGCAAGGCGGAGCGCATGCACCGAACCATCATGAACATGGCGCGGTGCATGATCTTCGCCTGCGGGCTCCCGCTGAGGTTCTGGGGTGACGCGGTTCAGTACGCCGCGTACATCCTGAACCGCGCCCCGACCAACTCCAACCCAGGGCGTGCGTCACCGCTGAAGGAACTGACGGGCAAGACACCACCGCTCGGCGAGATCGTGGTGTTCGGGTCGCCGTGCACTGTGTACCGGGATCCACGCAAAAAGAACTTCGCGCAACGCGCACAGAAGGCTATGATTGTGGGCATCGGCGAGGAGACCAAGGGCTATCGGGTCTACTTGCCCAAGGACCACGTGGTGGTCACGACGCAGCACGTCAAGAACATTGAGACGCTCGACAAGAAGCAGAACCTTCAGGTGCAGCGGCTGTACCTTCAGGCCGGCGAGACGC